AGGCCACAATTTAATTATAAGTTTAAGAGTGCATCTTTAGGACATACCAGGGCTTTTGCATGTTTTGGCTCATAAACAAATAACCATCTCAATATTAAGCTGAACATGTGCTGCTTAAAGTCACTTATTATTAAAGGATATTTTGATTTCATTTTGTATATTTTATTCGTAGAAATAATCATCCAATAAAACACCAGAATAGTCTTTGTGTTGCTTTCTTTCTTTTGGTCCATCAGATACTGATCCACTGAGTGAATTCAAAACCTTCTACAATACATTGCTGCTGAACATTTTTCAAACACTGTGTTTATATAAATAAAAAAATAAGAAGTGTTTGGATTGATTTCCCACCTCCCAGGCAGCAGGTGATTTCAGTTCATGTCAGAGAAGCATGAGACTCAACTTGCAGACACTTGAGATGTGGTTGAGTTTGGTAATCCATCACAGAGAACCGTTTCCTTACCTTTAGGTTTTGTCAAAGTTTTGTTATTGTTGTGAGTGTTTTGAAAACTCTCCCCGTTGGTGGTTTCAAGCTCACACTACCTGACATTTGGCCCAGCCAGAACACACACAGGTTTTACACATTGTCTGCATTTGTTTGTTGTTGGAGTAATTTTCTTGTCACTATAATGCTTTTTGTGAGTAAACTATTAAATCTTAGATGTCAATGCTTTGTTGAAGTCACCATCACAGTTTTCAAAGAAGTCATTGCTGCATTATAAAATGTCAGTAGCACAAACAAACAAACAAAAACAATATGTGTTCAGTGTAATGGATTACCAATTTCAAGTTTTGTGTTTTCACAAGCTCACTGTATTACAAACTGGAGAATGCTAAAACACAATGGAAGCATGATAGGTAGAAAATCAATCTTGAAAGCTGTTCAAAAAAGTGTTCGAAAAATGGTCAGCACAAATAAAAAGAAACACAATGTTCCCAGTGATACATCTGTGGGGTCATAAGATGATTAAAGGGATACAAGAGAGAATTATATATTGCTGTTAAACACACTTGTTGATTTCTCTTACTGAAATTATAGATATTTACGTGGCGTCAAAAAATACATCACATGAAAAAATTTAGGAAGGAAAAATCACTCCTCACAACTTATGTCAACACTATACCATAGCTTGTGACAATGGTTCACAAAGTAGGCATGAATTCACTTTGAGGGGTCCCAAACCAAAAAGTTTGGAAATCACTGCTTCACAGGATAAGGTAGAGTACTTTGACTTTGTGGGCAGTAATGGGTTTTAGGTCTAAGAAGTGAGGTGCCTTTGCGCAAGGTCCCTATCCCCAACCGCTCCAGTGGAGCTGCTCAGTGGCCAGCAGATCATACAGACAGATGTGGTTGTATGGGGCAGCTTCCAGGTGTGAATTTGATCTCGGCATTCCTGAAAAAGAGAGCATTGCTCTCAGTGAAAGTGAATAAATAAAAGGTGGAAACCCACCCACCTGAATTTAAAGGATAATTCTGGTTAAAGGGGAACTCCACCAATTTTAAACATCAAAGTCTGTTTACAGGTCTTGGGGAGTAATACTGTGAAAAAGTATTTTGTAGCTCCAGAGGGAGCTGTGTGAAATCTGATAAAGAGTTAGAAAGAAGGAAGCTTACCAGACCTCTGTAGCTACACATCTCTGCTTGAGGCTAGCAGCTGGAGGCTGCATTAGCCTCTACTGGCATGGACATGCCACCTTGATTACGCTAGTACAGCCTGGCACTGCAGTCTTCCAAACCTATATAGGATAAAACTTTGTCTCACAAAATAAATTGATCAAAGTGGCCTCGGTTCGTGAGAGCGTATAGGGAGGAACCAGTTCGTGCAGCTAAATTGGCTCCCTGTGGAGTACAGAGTGACACAATTAAAACTCTGTCAGGTTCACAAACTGTAAATGGTGTAGATTACCTATTAAACCTCCCCCTGCAGGTCAGAGAAGCTCACAGGCACCACACCAGGCCCACTGTAGCAAATCTGATGCTAGTAAGAATCAGTAGTTAGATGGGTTAAAGCTCTTTTAGATAATCAGAAAACCTTTTCCAATCCTGGGCATCAAATAGTATTAAACAGACCATGAATCCAGTCACTTTTAAGACAAAACTGAAACACTGGCTGTTAGATAATATACCCCTGTAAAGACAGTGGTGTGGGGTTATATGTATCTCATTTAATGGAACGGTTTTAGTTTGTAATTTAGCCTGTTGTTAGAATAATCTTTTGTAGTGTGAATATTTTCTATATGTTGTTTTTTGTGTTTTTATATATCCCGCTAATAGCATACCCCGCTATCTCCATGAGCAAGCATGCACACACCTCTACAACATCTAACTACAACAAGAAACCACCAGAATCTGTTTTCAGTTATTTTTAACCTTTATTATCATGTGACTTCTCATGTGGCAATTTGGGTGCATTTATAGATCTCAACAATTAACCTGTGGATGCAATGTCTTTATTACAGCTAGAAACGGCAAAACTAAGAAAATAAGACACAAGTTACAATAAATAGGAATAACCCATCAAAATATGCACATGAGCTACAATCCCTGATGCAACTTCAGGTAAATGTTGGATTGAGTACAGGTGCAGGAAAAGGTCATATAGCAAAGAGTTTCACTGCTGTCTCACTGCACATCACTGTATGTACACATAAATGCTTTGTCACACTGTCAGCATGATACTGTATTCACTATTCATTGAGGAAAGGTGTGTGAGAACCTTTCCTCAGTGAATAGCGAATACAGTATCATGCTGCTTTTTCTCAAAGGGAAACCCAGGGAAAAGAAACTCAGATCTGAACGAAAGCATGACAGCTGCTCTGTCTCTCTCTGTTGGGATTTTAGCGAGAGAAAGAGCGGGATACTGGAGGAAGAGGTGGGAGGAAGACTCTTCAGAGAGAAAAAAAAAATACTGAGCTTCCTGTGAGTGGAGACAGCCAGATGGAGAGTTTAGTGAGGAAGGTATAGACAGGAAGAGAAGAGGGATGAGAGATGAAAGGAAGACGTGACAGGTCCGCTCTCTCCTCTCTTTCTGTCCCATAAGCCTCTCTGGTTTCCAGCTGAGACTCTCCTCTGTAGTGGGAATGTCTCTTCTCAGCAGGTCCCACTTATCAATATTTCTCTGTGCTGGAAATAAAAAATAAATAAAAAACGCTTTAGGATAAAGTTGAAATGCCACTCCTATACTTTTTAATAAATTAAACATGCATGAGAATTGCTTTTAAAAATTTAGTGCTGCCCTGAAATGACTTTTGCTGCCTATTTTTAAAACACGCCGTCAAAATTGATTGTTGACTGCTCGATGAGGATTTGGTGTGTTTGTATGTGTGAACTCTGATGTATGCTGCAGAGTTAAAAAACCTCTGCTTTGGTATTTTCAACTTCGCTCTACCACCTCATTTATAGTTAATGAGATATCAGGGGGTGTACTAATTGTTTTCGACTGAGAGATGATGGGCTGATGAAATAAAGATAAAGGAATGAATAAAAGAGTGCAAAGAAACGGGATGAGCAAAGAGGATGAGGGGCAAGGGATAAAAACGAGGGTTGAACAGGTAGTGAAAGACTGAAATGGAAATAACGTAGATTAAGGCTGAATAGAGGAGGTCTTCATATTCTTTCTCTGTAGGCAGAACTCAAACATTACAGCCATAGAGTTGCTTTTTTCACTGTTATTTATGCACATTTCTAGATTGTAACACCATACTAATGATGTGGCATTTACTACCAATTGTGGAACAAACATTTATTTTCATGAGGTACAGAAACTCATTCCTTTCTCCTTTTATTTTACTCGTGCGTCAGTTAATTCTCACTAGTGAAATTAAGCTAACCATGGGTTAAATTGACTACAAGAAAAACCTTTAAAAAATGAATGACTGTTTAAACGCAGCTTCTCTTTTCGCCTGTAGCTAGTGGCCATTGTGCAAGCACAATAATACACTAAGGAGTTCTGATGGTCTGGCTGGGTTAGGAGAGAATAAAAAAAAAAAAAAATTCTGACTTTGCTTCCTCCACAGAGGGTGTGCTGGAAAGGTTCAGCCTAAAAAGTGCTCCTTCCACCATATCTCTCGAGGTGGTCAGCCATTCTCCTCTGCTAGAACTGTCTAGGAAAGACAGGACAATGCCCCACCCCCCTCCCTGTGCCGACTGACAGTCAGATAAATCCAATTTCATGACCTCCTCGAACTCCTCCCTCATCTGAGTTGGTGGAGCTGATCGTCATAGTGACACAGTTGGGAAACAAGCAGGGAACAACAGGGGGCTTACTTTGGTCTTGAGAAGCTGCAGCCTTCATTCACTGACAATGTATAACGTACACTGTAGATTTACAACCTCACTGCTCAGCTTTAACACTCTCTCCCTCCCTTTCACCCATCCACACACTATCTACACATACTGAAATATAATATAGGAGGTCCAGTTAGAGTAATAGAGCCCTCAGGTTTATCAGATGCTAAATATTGCACAGTGGTTTATAATATAAGAAAGGATTTTACTGATCTAGACAGCTAGATGACATCGCATTGCGCTGCAGAAAAGGTTGAGCCCGTTTAAACTTTTTCGTTGGAAAACCCTGCGTTTCTCTTTTGCTGATGCCCTCTGTCATTCAAATGAAAGAGGGGTTATGTTATTTAGCGCAGGGCTAATGTCAGTATGAACGTAGTCTGAACAAGGTCCCAGACACTTGGCTGCAAGCTCCCCTTCCAGGAGTCCCTGTTGACGTTGCTCTTTCACAAAGGCACTGTTCCATAGAGGTCTTTGAATCACACTTAGCCTTGCTGCTCACCTGGCACTAACAGCCTTTGGAGAATCTACAGGAACCGTGACAGCTGACAACACAGCACCCAGGGTCATAGGGCCATGCGACAACAACAAGGTGGTGAGAATTGTCATTGAATCTTCCAGTTTCCAGACTCTGGATATGGCTTTGTCATGGTAAAATGTACAGTAAGGGAGTTACTTCAGTTATATGTTGCTGCAGAATGTACAGTATTTCAAGTCAGGTTTTCTAATAGTCTTTATTCATTACATTTTCATTTTCAAATTTAAACCAGAAGGTACTGTAATTTCATCGGCTGCAGACAGTGCAGTGACAAAGCAGTACAAAGCAGTACATCACAAACTGCTGAAGGAGAATTTTGTATGCTCAAGTGCAGCTTATATGAAACCCTCTAAAATATTACCTCTAGGTGAGAGCTGTGGGGTGTGCAGAAGATGTGCTGTGTTGTGAAAATGAACGAGGGTGTGGAAAAAAGCAAGGACAGTATGTGGCATGTACTGTAAAGGAGAATACGTTTTCTCTTGAGACATATGGCTGCACCAGCTGGAGTTCTTATATTGTTGCTGTGATAAGTGGCTTTGTAGTCAGTTCACTTCCTTTTGTTTCTCAGTTTTATTGGATTGGTTCCTTGCTTCCTCTTCACCCCATGTGTATCTCTGCCATTTCTCTTTATTGCTGCCTCGGAAATTCTCGTCTTGTCTCATGTTCATATTCACGCCAACACACATAGGGACAATCATAAATAAATTCATAACAAAACCCTGTGATTAAAAAACTGATTAATTTGATAAAGCTGGCACATGTAAAAGAAGAAAACTGTTCAAAGCACTAACCTGTAACATGTTCAAATAAAAAAAAAGGACTCGTGTAATATAATCCTAAACTAACACAATGTCGTTAAACTGACTTGTTTCCTTTCATGCGATGTGCACCAAGCCAACGTGATTTAAAGTGTTCAATTACTTTTTTTTCAATTACCCGTTTATAATAACCGACTGGAGTGGTGTCATGACTATTTGCCCATCTTGCACAAATGAAAAAAACATTAGACAAGCTTAGTGAGGTCAACAGGGCATGCTATACATACAAGTGGTAACGCTTTCAAACTCTCCACGTTTGAGTACACGAATGCCTGTTGCGCTTATGTACCGTGTACTTTGGGGGAGGTTATTACAGATCAAATATTGAATTTCTTCTCATGGTCAAACCATACTGAGAATTTTAAAATGTGTTGTGAGGAAGGCAAGGTCGGCTCTTATTCTCCCTTCTAATGGAAACAACCAGAGAAAGATGTGCAGGAAACTTCTGTTTAGACTTTTATCAATTCAAGAACATTATTATTATTTAAAATAATAAAATCATATGTATGGCATAACTAAATTAGATATTGATGAAAACGTACTTCTCATTTATATATATATATGCCAGGACAAGAATGAGAAAAGGGAAAACATTTTGCAATCAGTCAATCACATTTTGTACTCAAATGGATTTCTTTATCACTATCTTTGGATTGGCTTGGACTAGCTGTAACCACAAAGCATCTGTGTGAAACCTTTCGTACAAAACCCCAGAGAGAGGACACAAAAGGCAGAATAAAAAGAGCTAACAAAGACTCAGCCTTGGTAAAGACCATACAAAACACATCACTGCACATACAGAGAACCATACAAATGTTTCTCTTGGTCCATGCATACCTGCAAAAATACTTTAAAATCCAAATGTCACTGTTCTTAGTATGTCATTGTCATGACAACTATGTTATGTTGAGAACAAATATATTTCTCAACATTTTATTGATGAAATATTCAGCGTACAAATATGGATACCAAGTTGTTTTCTTAGCCGTTTGAATGTAACTTGGAAGTATTCCATCAAACAAGGTGTTTATCCTCCACAACACAGCACTGACTGCATGATTCATATGTCGGAGTTGTCGAGAAGTACCGGCACATTTTGAAGACTTTGTGAATATCGTATGAGACAGAAAAAAACAATGCAAGGAGGAGAGTGGAAAAATACAGGAAATTAAAAACAAAACTGATCCCATATTAAATGCTACACCGTTGTGTCTGACATGGTGTCACATTACTTCAGATCGTAGTTTGGCGGCTGAAGAGGTCGAGGGTCACAGCAGAGAGGAACGCTGGGATGCTCTTCTGGTGATGCAGATGAAGGGCCACCATCTCTCTCAGAGTTTTGGAGAACTCTGTCTCCATGAGCTGCATGCTTCCATTGGAGCCCTGAACACACACACACACAC